GGGAAGCACAGACACACACGGGCACAGAGACCAACGCTTTGCTGTCCCTCGGCGAGGTTGGCAAGCAAGTAGGAAAAGCTGAGAACCGGCTGTCCGGGGGGGTCCCTTTAAGCTCGAGCCTCAGATATCCTCAGACAGCAGCCACACAAAGCAACTACTGACCTGATGCCCTGCCAGAACCAGTTTCAGCTGCTCTTAAATGCCCCCCTGCGTCCAATCAGTGTGGACGCACTAGTTCGAATTAGCAAAATGCTAATTCGAACTAGTTTTTAGTTCTAGATGCGCTAGTTCGAATTAGCTTAGTTCGAATTAACTAATTCGAACTAAGTTAGTTCGAATTAGCGCTGTAGTGTAGACATACCCTCATTGCTTTCCAGGATCAAGTCCTGCCTCAAGGCCCCTCTTTGTTCCTAGATGTTTACATTTCTAATAAGCTATTTTAAATACTAAAACATATTTTTCCTTGAGTCCACTTTATCAAGTAGTCCAGATAATTTTACATCATTGTCTTGTCCACTACATCATTAACCAGGCCTTCATTGTTTATTTTGTCCACAAACTTCCTCGGTGATTATTTTGTCTTTTGTTTCAGTTCCTGGAGAAAAATACTAAACAGTGTATCTTTTTTTACCGCAAACTGATCACCACGGTACGCCAAACAAACCTTTGTCTGTTGTTTCCAGAACAAGGCTCAGTTTCCCCCTTAAAGAGGAGACATATCCAGAAATAAACTAGGATGCAAGAAGTGGGAGTATTATATAAAACAGTTTGTCAGCCGTCCTGTAGTATAAACGCTGCATAGAAAATGTTATGGTTGCATTTGTGCTGAGCTAATCACTGAAGATGGGATGGTCAGAGAGTGGAGAAGTGACACTCATTAAGCTTTTAAAAATACAAGCCATGTTAAGAAGCCAACATTCTAGCTGGTCTCTGATCTATGCAATCATTTAATAGTGGCATGTGCAGCCGGGGCCGGAACCCATCACAGGGACACATGAGAAGAGGGATAAGTGGGAAGATGAATTGGGGGGGGAAGACAACCTGTTGATTCATACACAGGGCAGGGGAGGAGGAGAAGGCAAGATAGGAGGGAGAATAGGAGGAGTAATCAGGCTGACTAGATTTCCTTATTTTGTAGGGACAGTCACAGTATTTTTCACTCTTTCTGTCTGGTCACCAAAGGGTAAAAGAGAACAGTCGGGAGGATTGTTTTTTTTTGTTTTAAGCGATGGGAAAATTTTCTCTTCCTGTGGACACACAGAAGAAACCAACTGTTCTGCATGTGTCTAGGTCTTTTAGACGGCCTGCTGTGTGTTGTTGGATCTGCCGGGCCCTTCCTCGGCTAGGCTGTCTGATCCCTTCCCCTGTGTCTGCATGTGAGTTGGGCTATTGGAGTGCTGTGAAGGGGGGAACTGAAGATAAAGCAAATATAAAATCCGAAATCCAGACAAGGGAGAGTTACAATACAGATGACCCAACGGGTGGGGGCTAAGCTGTGGAAGGGGGGCAGGATTCTGCTGTCGACCAGGGGTGCATTGTGTGGTCATGACTCTGGAAATCTGACTCAGGCAGGAGTCACAGCAGAAGGTGGATAGTGGGAACGAGGGGCCCAGCGTAGTGTGATGCTTGGGCTATGGTAGCAAGTAAGGTTGTGCTATGCCGGCCTAGCATCTTATGGCAAATGGGCAGGTACATGGATCTTCGAGTAGGTGGATGGAATAGGAAGGGCCAGGAGGACTAATGTGCCAAGGGAGCGGCTATATGTTGTGAGAATGATGTGGGAAGTGGTGGAGATGGAGACAGACACACCCATCTCCTCACAGAGGTTTACAGTTCCTTGGACAGCCAAGTAATAACCACACCAAAGTGTTGCGCACGGAGCACTGGCCCTTTTAGAAATTCCACATTGCAAACATTTCAGAGCGCGACCATCCTCCTCTTTTCCCTGTATCAAAATGCACAGGAGCAGGAAGAAAGGGATTTTAATGGGAAGGAAATATGAAAACAGCCCCTCCCCAAGTGTGCTCATGAAAACATTTGCATGGTTTTTTGCACCATCACAATTCATTGTTTTTATAGAAAGAACATGAAGTCTTAATAGAGAATACAAAGTTCCCTTTGTTAATTTTCTCCAAGGTTTTTAGCACCAGATGCTGCTGCCATCACTCACTTGGACCCTCTGTTTATATCTAAAGAAAAAGAATAATAAGATATTGCATTAGAAATCAAAGAGCAGAGCAGGAATTTTCCGATCATTGAAAAGAGAGTACAAATATTCCCGACTAGCCCCAGAGCAGGAGGTTCATTGTCCCTATGATATGTTCTGGCCACATAGTTTTAATAAAAATGGTGGTATACATGAAAGAATTCATGGAGGATACACAAATGGTCACAGAGAACTGGGGAAGGATAAAACTCGTGCTTGTCTTTGTAAAGGGGTCCTGAGAGGACCTGGTGAATTATAGACCAGTCAGAATAACCTCAATATTTGGAAGGTATTTAAAAAAGCATCAATCAGTTTGTAAGCACCTAGAGGATATTAGCCCCCAGGGATTTCTCTGGAATAAATCGTAACAAACTAACCCATTTTCTGTCTTTGACAGAAATATTGGTGGATATAGTAGACCTGACGGAAGAAATATTCATAATATATCTCAATTTTAGTAAGGTTTTAGAAATGATTCCACATTACATTCTCATAAATTAACTAGGGAAATATTGTCAAATTATATTACCACAAGCTGGAGGTAAAACTGAAGGTAAAACCTTACTCCAACAGCAATCCTCAATGGTTCACATTCAGACTGGGAGGGTGTATACAGTGCGGCCCTATAGTGGTAAGTACTGTGTTCTGTCTGACTTCATATGTTCATGAATAGGCTGGATAATATAAGAAGAGCATGTTTCTAAGCCTTGCAGATGAGCCCAGGCCGGGAGGGGTTGCATATTCCCCAAGCTGCTTCTGGAGACTTTACTTTTATTCATCCCTATTGTTTTCTTGATTGTAAAATGAAATAAGTACATAGACACAAATCAATCTGGCAGCAGCCACTGCCCATTTTATGCTGCTTGCATGAGAAACAGTGGCTTTGAAAGGGACCCAGGAAGAGTTTCATGAATGTCTGAATAACACTTGTCTGAGATAATTGCCTCTTTGCTTCCCTCCTTGTAAGCTCTGTCCTAAGGGGGCACTGGAGATAATGTTGTGTGTTATCAGACCACAGAGGAGAGAATTGTTATTGATCAAAGAGTCTGGATTTTCCAACTTGGGGACTGGTTCTTGAGAGCTTTGGCAATGCAGCTGTCAATAAGGTTGTTCCAATAAACACAAGGGCCAATCTAGTTCCCAGTTAGTGCAGAATCAGGGCAATGCAGAAGCCTCCTTTGTCCCACTTCCTCCCCAACACCCGTCCCCAGCCATCCTGTGGGTGTGAAGCCTCCCAGAGACTTAAACAACAGCTTACATATAGAAAGGAGAGGAACAAATATTTCTGTTCTCACAGCGGTGTCACCCATGGGATCGGGAACTTACTCATCTACAGCAAACGTGCGTCCAGCAACAGCGTCCAATACGACGTCGAAAAATGGGGCACGCCCAGGGGTAGCACCATCCTCCTCTTAGCCTGCATCGTAGGCTACTCCCAGGAGAACAGCGTCCTGCATAATGAAAGAGTCTTGATTTTCATTCACACAACAGTGTAAAGGAGAACTGTGAGTGCAGGGTGAGAGGTCAAATCAGCCAAATCAACCAAATTTACTTTCTGTACAACATTTTGTTGGATGTTTCATAATACTTAAATTCTGTAATTCGGTGCACAGTCAATTGCAAACTTTATCAGTGATGATTTCTTTTCTCTCCCAGGTCACTGACAAAAATGCGGAAGACAGTAGGGCCAAGAAGTTTTTTTGGGGGGACTCCGCTAGGCTGAATGCTGGGGACATTTTCACAGCTCATAGTTCAGCCACATCAGAATAGACTTTCATAGAAACATCACAGGCACCTTCCTCATCCCAGGAATCTTTCATAGTTTTATTTGAGTATCTGCTGCCAGACATGTGAGCATTAGAGCTGTTTAGAAAAAGATTTGGGAAGAAAATCTTTTAAGGAATCTTAGTAGATGCTAAAAAATATGCTTCTATAGACTCCTCAAATTTCATTCAAAGCTTACCTTCCACACCAGCCTGCATCATGAGGAAGAGGACAGCAAAAAGAAGGTAAAGGATCTTCATAGCTGAAGTTTCGTTGGGAACTCAGCGTCAATGTAGAGAAGAGATGCTGAGACAGACAGAAGAAGGAGGTTCTCTCTATTTATAGGGTGCTGACAATTGGAATAAGGATTGGTCTGTTGAAATGTTGTTTTGATGCAAATGATATGCATAAAAGATGCTGCAATCTGTTAATTGCAAGTATTATTAATTGCGCGGCACCATAAACATTCCAAGAAAATTACAGGGAACTGTAATTGACAACTCCCTGCTTTCAGGAAGTTCTAAGATGAATATTCATATCTGGAAAATATCTACTGCCTAGTGGATAATCGACCCAATGACTTTAAAGGAGGCTCTAGGGGCGAGAGTAGTTGCAGAACACAACCAGGGAAATGATTGTTAGAAAGTGTGCGCATTTGTGTATTTGCTTTGTACAGTTTTTTATCACTATTTAATGAATATATAGGGAATTTTCTGAATTTTATGCGTCAAAACCCATGACAGAGACTTTTCCTGTTATGTTTGGGTGTTACACACATAGAAGTTTTACATAAAGACAGCAAGAGTCTTGCAGGAAGTTTATAAAATACCTTTATTTCTTGGCATGCAGAATGATAGCACATATATCTAAAAGCAGAGAGAGAGAAAGGAAGCTCTACTTTATATCCGAGAGATACCAACATGTCTCCCTTCAGTGCCCCCTTGCCTGCAAGCAGGACCAGGACAAAATCCTGAATATTAAACATTTTAGCTTAAAAATTTAACACAGTTTTCAACTCTACGCGTGGAGATGCTCCAGCTGGGTCCCTTCCTACCGCTGACTAGAACCCAGGAATCTGCATTAATTGGCACCTACCTATTGCACTAATGACCCCACCTGGTTTTGGGAGAGGCAGGAGAATGTGGGTGCTGCAGATGTGGATGGGTGAATTGCTTCAGAGAAATCATGAAAAAAACTCCTCATGCAATAACAATAAATGTTTCCTCTTTTCCTTTAAATGCTAACAGTCTCCACCTTGTCCTTTTTTCCCATTCAGCTGGAAGCTGCAATAAAACAGGGTTGAAATTGAGGGAAGATTCAGTTTCAGGTTCTTAGTGGCACTTTCCCGCCCAGTATCTAAACTCCATCCCTCAGGAGAGCTTGCTAGAGGGATGCTACCAATCTTCAGCCATATATTTGGTCTACATGGAGCTTGCTTTTGCTGCCTTGTTATGCACACATGTGCACAACTGGGTAGGACACACACAAACAATGAATACTCCCTCTCCAACCTTATTCCTTTGAAAATATTGGGAAAGATGGGGAGTTAATGAATTATTAAAAGTACACCTAAACAGTTTTAGTGGTTCTGTGTTCTTCATACTCCATGTTAGAAAGCCATTCACAGGAGAGGTGTCTTTGTGGAAACATGGATTCTCAGAAAATGGGCAGACCGTGGCCTTCCTTTGCTGAGGTTTTAGAGGCATCTGGCTGTGAGTCTGTTGGCTGAAGAACTTTTCCTAAATGGTAAGAGCTAGGACCACTAACTTTGGCATGCAGCTTCCTCTTCTCATAACTTTCAGGAAGGTCAGGATTTAGTGATGAGTGGAAAATGGGATTTGCCTGCACTTCTGTGGTTTTCCCGAGCATGGAAAGGGAGGGGGTTTATTGGAGGGATGCAATACTGCACAAAGACCACTGTGGACAGCTGCCTCACGAAGGGGAGTGACCAGCTGGGGATGGAGCTTGCTCACTTGCAGGCCATCAGCGCAGTTAAGTGTCCCAGTTCACCCAAATGCTTCCACCTTGTCCTAGTAGTGGGGGGCATAAAGGGAGGATCCTCACTGCCCCTGGCAATGTGGCCTCCTTGAGCATTGCCAGTGTAGGGCAGTGCGGCCCCAGCTCTGGCTCCTGCAGGACACAGAGGCACTGCCCCCCAGAGTGACTGCGCCTTGAGGCTCTTCTTTTATTTCCCAGAGAAAAATGTAAAACAGTGTAGAGCCGCAAACTGATCATCACCAACTCCAAAAAAAGTTTGTCTGTTGTTTCCAGATCAAGGCATGGTTTCCCCCTTAAAGAAGAGACATGTTCATAAACTAGGAAGCAAGAAGGTGGAGGGTTACGTAAACAGCTTGTCAGCCATCTTTTAGTATGAATGCTGCCTAGAAAAGGTAATGGTTGAATTTGACTTGAGTTAATGATTGAAGATAGAATCTTCAGAGAGTGAGGGAGTGACACTCATAAATCGTAAAGCTTTAAAATATACAAGTCGTGTTCAAAAGCCAACATTGTAGCTGGTGTTTGATAAATGCAAACGTTTAATCTTGGAATGTGCAGCCCAGGGCAGGAACCCATCACAGGAGTCTATGAGGAGAGGGATAAGTGGGAATAGGAGGTGGGGGGAAGTCGAGCTGTGGATTCAGACACAGGGCAAAGGAGGAGAAAAAGGAGGAATGGGAGGGATAATAGGAGTAACCAGACTGACAAGGTTTCCTGATTTTATAGGAACAGTCGCAATATTTTCACACATTCTGTCTGTTCACAAAAGGGTAGAAGAGAACAGTTGAGAAGGGTTGGGGTTTTTTTGAGTTGTGGGAAATTTTTGCCTTGTTTATTCTCCTCCCGTAGCCATTGTGGAGGCAGGAAAAGGGAATAAGGGAATTTGTGTGCAGCCATCTTGGTCTTGTTAACAAGAGAGCAAGAGTCAGGCTAAGTCTGTGGCCTAGCAACGCGAGATCTATAATTAGACACTGCCTTCGCCTCTCGCCTCCATACGGAGATAAGGATAGAATGCTGACTCTGGCAGGGACCTTGAGATAAGGAGCATCTGGGTGGAACTAAATAACTGTTAACCATTGGTGTTTGTAACAGGAAGGAGACTAATTGTTATTGTTATTATATTTATAGACAGTATATAAACTGCTTCATAATTGCTTGTATTGGAAGATCTGCCTCGGAGGGGGGCTCCCCCCTGTCTGAACCAGTTTTTCCCTTGCTGCAGCTCGTAATAAAACTGCCTCTGGCTACTTGTTGCTTACAAACGCAGAGTGAGGACAATGTTTTCTTCCACAATTTGGTGCCGTGACTCAGATGGCAACGCCCGATTGAAGACAGCGACAGCGGCTACAGACAATCCCCCTTCATCCCAGGGTACCAAATGAGAGGTAAGAGATCTTTTGAAATCTCTACTGGGGTGTGGAGGAGGACTGCCTGTGGGGTCGTCTGCCTTGCTGGGCTCACGCCATCCGAACTTCTTTAATCTGCAACAAGGTCAGGTGCAAAGTGATTCTGGGGAGGTTGTTTTATTACCCCTGAGTAGGCCTAAGTTTATGCAGTGCTGGGAATTGCTGTGGTTCTGGTGGTGCTGCCCCGGGTACGGGAAGAAAATTGTATTGCATCTGGACATAACGCACCTAGGTTTATGCAGTGCTGGGAACTGCTGTGGTTCTGAGGAGAAATGTGTTGTTTGCCGCCCCAAATATGGACGAGGTCCATAAAGAGAGATGCATCTCAAAGTGGGAAAATTTCTGTGTGAAAAGCATGCTGAGTGTGAATGTAATGAGTGGAATGTGAATGCCGCTGCCCAGGTCTCTGAGAAATAAGCTGATTCCAGCCGCACCAGGGCTCTCCCACAAGGGAGTTCTGAATGCAAAGGGGGTCAGCCAAACCTTGAGACCAAGTGGATATGTGAGGGAGTGACGACTACCCTTATTTCATGAGCTGCTGATAAGACCTGACACTCTAGACCCAGCAGACCCCTTCTTTGGAGTGTGTAGATTTAGTTTACCAACTGTCCCTCATAAGTAAGCCAGTAACATTGTACATATGATTCTTTTCAGGAAAAGAAAAGCTCTTTGCTTGCTGGAACAGTAACTGGCCAACCAACACCTTGTGCTAAGGAAAAGCATTATAGCTTCACACATTAAGCCTGATCTGTGGTACAAGAGGGAAACTGAGGCATGCCACTGTTGGGGAGGGCTAGCAACTCTGAGGTAATTCAAAGGAGTGGAAGGTCAAGAGTACCGATGAAGCGCCCTTGTTCTCGGAGAGTTGCAGCTCACTCGCCCATGGAAGTGGTAAGGAACTAGCTGTAACCGGTTCCCCTAGCAGATCTTAGTCAGTATTTTAAGTTATAATGGGCCACCCCGACGGGGGTAGAAATGTTTTCTTGTCTTTCAGATCATCAAAAAGCGCTGGTGCCAGCTGAAGAAAAACAACAAACAACAACAACAACAAAAAAAACCCATGGTTTTGTGTCATGACAAAATAAGTTTGTGTTCTGTCCAAGTTTGTCTTATGTGTCTTAATTGTAATACGTATTGCAAATATTGTTGTGTGTAGGATATTGTTTTAATGAAAGGGTAATTTGAATAAAGCTTTTATTTAAATTTAGATTAAATTTCAAATATCTAAAAGGGTGTCACAAGGAGGAAGGAGAAAATTTGTTCCTCTTGGTTTCTGAGGACAGGACAAGGAGTAATGGGCTTAAAGTGCAGCAGGGGAGGTTTAGATTGGACATTAGGAAAAAATTCCTAACTGTCAGGGTGGTCAAATATTGGAATAAATTGCCAAGGGAGGTGGTGGAATCTCCCTCTCTGGAGATATTTAAGAACAGGTTAGATAGACATCTGTCAGGGATGGCGCAGACGGAGCTTGGTCCCGCCTTGAGGGCGGGGGCCTGGACTCGATGACCTCTCGAGTTCCCTTCCAGTCCTATGATTCTATGA